ATTCTATCCATAACGGATCAGGAAAGAACGGTCAGGTTAGCAATCATTGAGCGCATTTAAAAACTATCGAAATTGCATAAATAGTTCAAAGGGGAGAATTCCTTATGTGATAGATTATTATTTGAGTTAAGTAATTCACGGTCAGCACTGTAAATTAGATATCTGGGCTGAAAAACCTCAACTATTTATTCTGTATTCACTACCTACTGTTACTTGTGTTCAACTTCACATTACTATAGGAAAAAACTACATTTTTTTATCAATGGAGATCAATATATAATCAATCCTAGATTATTTTATTTGACCGCCTATTGCGGTGTTACGATGTTTCTATAACCCCAATGATGTAGAGAGGTGTACAAAAGCGTTTGCGTCTGCCGGGATTTTGAACCCAGATCTTTTTCTTTCCAGCAGCATGTGCTAAACCGTTTGCACCACCGACGCTCGCCTTGCACTCCACTCTTTCTACGCTACAATGCGTTATCTGTCAATAGCCAACCGTCTGCGGTGTGGCGAGGCAGATCTGGATCGAGGTTCAAATCCCGGCTGCCGCAAACGTCTTTGCACACCACTCTACATCATTGGGTTTATAGAAACATCATAACACCGCAATAGGTGGTCAAAGAGAATGATTTCGGATTGATTATTGAACCCAATATCTGTAAACAAAAGTGGGTTTAATGTCGATAATGACTGCCCCGCCACACCGTAGACGGTTGGCTGTTGACAGATAACGCGTTGTAGCGTAGAAAGAGTGGAGTGCAAAACGAGCGTCGGTGGTGAAACGGTTCAGCACATGCTCCCGGAAAGAGTAAGATCTGGGTTCAAATCCCGGCTGACGCAAACGTCTTGCACACCACTCTACATCATTGGGTATATAGATCAAAAAATACTTTTTACTTTATTACACGACTTGTCTTCACATTTACTGGGTTAATTTCACCGATCGTTGCATTTATTCGCATCTTACCACTAACTATGCACAAAGGTCTGAACTTTTCGTGCGTGTGTTCTGCTGGTGCTTGAGATTGCCGTCTTCTTTATGAATTTCGCTGAACGTTGGTCGAGTCAATTCTCCCTGAACCCATGGGATCATGGGATACCGGAGAGTGGATTGTTTCCACATAGTCTGGAAAGAAGTTTTCAACCCTGAAGAAATAAGAGCCGTGATGAGCCGTAGATGGGGTTAAATCAGAGTCGAAGGTGTGGTGAACAACATCTATGCCGTTACGCCGTCCCACCTATGACAAAAAACCAGATTTTCATAGTTATTTTAAGACGCCTCAACGATTTGTAAATAAGATCATTCACTGATCGAAGCAGACATATTCAAGATGACTAAAGTGTTCCGAGTGTTTGGTTGACTGTAAAATCTATTGCTAAAACGGACGAAGTCACTGAAGTTTTGAATTGGTAAGTATGTAGAAAAGTTCACCTCGTTGATGATGGAAGCGATAAAGACGAGCTCTCGTTTTCGGTCGATGGCTAGCGCTGATGGAGTGGAGAGGCGCGATTCATGAAGTGTAACAGTGTGGCCGTCGAAGAAGTACAACGCGCCGAAGCTGCTCTGCAAACATTTCATGGGCTCGCTGAAGTGATGGTATAAACTTCTCAAGTAGTCTCGATGTAGCACGGTGACTGACACTTGCTGACTAATGTGGCGAGAATGAGCGACGTTGTCGGCCAGATGAGCAAAGGCAAAACATCAATTATTTCATCAGGTTTATGGCTCGTCTTCACCTAGGCCATCCTTCAAGATAAGAAAAAATGGACAGGAAGAATTTAAAACTATTTTCAAATGTGTGACTCGTCTTCGCGTATTCTTGTGGTCCCTCGACCTGCTTTCGCTAGTGTCATGTTTTCAGATTTGCGTGGGGTTTCAGCTGCCAACTTAACCATTCTGCTTTCTTCATGCACGTCGCTGAGTGATAGACTAGTTAATTTTTTCTGAAATCTTGGGGTAGCTGTGTTAGAGCGTTTTGAGTTCTTCTACATAGAGTCGTACCTCACTCCTAAGGATCAAATGGGGCTCTTCTCAATAGATTTGGTACTTAATAACAGATTCTAGAAGTTTTGAGTGACTTCTTAAGCTCAAGTGGGAGTCTAATTCGCAAATACAAGTGTGTTGAACGGTATCCTCAAGAATTATGCTCTGTAAAGCTCAAAGGGGCAAATAGGTAAACTGAAAAAGGAAAAAGCCTTAAGTAAGGATAATGATTGTTGAACAAAATACCTGCATTATCAACTCGGCCGTTTGGAGTATTCCTCTATTCATGTATGCGAGATTACTGATGAAAAATCGATCTGCTCCCACGGCAAGCACATCATAAGCGCTAGAAATTTTAAAGCTTAAGAACTCTCAACTTTGTTATTTTACTGACGGACCGTTTATCAGGAGTGAATAAAACACTTCGTTCAATTTTAAAGAAATCAATGTTTGTGAATGATGAAAAATGATCTGAGTTACAACACAGGAAAAGGACTCGATTCTTGCGAGAATCAAAAATGGTTGAGCCCAAAAGAGAAAAGAGAGAAGCTTCAATAAACACGACGGATATTTGAATTGCGTTCAGTTTGTTGCGCATGTATCAATCGAAAAGATTGACATCCAAAGATGTTCGACCTCTTCTTCCACTGCTGTCTCACCTCGAAAATCTTGGATCGCAAACGGATTTCCTATGGAATAAAATATTCTTCTCTTTGTTGTAAGCAAATATTTCCACACACTGTCGTCTTGGATGAGTATTAACCACATAGAGAGAAAGTCGTCGTTTACTGTAGTAGGACGACAATCCGAGAGGAATGAATTCTTCCTGAAATCTAGTGATAGAAATAAAAATTCATCTAGTGATAGAAATAACACCTTAACTATTTTTTTTTCATTGGTCATCAGAACGCAACGAAGAAGTGGAATACATGAGAAGCACGCGAAATATATGATTTGAAATAAATGATGAAAAAATGAAGTTTTTGAGCAAACGACTACCGAATTGAATTTTTCGCCTTCAATCTTGATTGGCTTCGCCTCGTATTTCGCCATCTCCTTCTCCAATTGCAACAATGCCAAACCTGGCCGTGATGTCCTATTACCGTATGCCTTAGCTAGTCCAGTGGAGATGAACACCAAACCGATTTCACGAATCAGCTCCATACCGGCAGAACCATCAGCTGAAATCAAAAGTAAGGGCATCATATAGTAGTGAAAACAGTGTAGTATTTATTAATATTAATATAGTAATATTAGTACATCTTTCTAGCACTTTATTTAATCCGTCATCCCAGTGCTTTTTCACTGTGCGGATGCCAGTACTTCTAGCATTCAACTTGTTTCGCGTCTTCTTCTAGAACTGCTTAAGATAGTGGTTGAGCGAGTTTCATTGCAATCTCGAGTATAGCCTTGCTGTGGCGTTCCATAGGACGTTGTTATTGACTGCCGGAGAGAGGTGGGGGTGAACTTGGCGCCACGCGCGCCGTGACCAACATCACAACCACTCGGCTACGGTGTCCCTATTAGTGTGTCTAATATTCTCGAAGTCGATATTTGATGGAAACAGTGGACGGTTAACAAAATATATCCGATAATAATAACACCAAATAAGAATAACAACAATTATAGTAGAAAGAATGTTAGTTTTTATGTTGTTTGCGAGCCGGGAGGAGAGGGAAATTATATAGTGGTTCGCAACTGCTTTAGATGCGTCAGTTCAAAGTTTTAATCCTCCCAGATAAGCATGGTACAATTCTGGCTACTTCAGAGAGATGATAGGTTTGATGAATGAACACGTGTGTATTGCTGGACACTGCTAACCACTGCATTGAATATTGCTCTGGATTTTTGAAGCAGTTATCGTATAATAAAATTAAATTAAATACGAATGCAAGTAATACATAGAATATAGAGAGATGGTTAGAGTGATCGCAATCGAAGACTCAGCAATGTATGATATATGTTCCACCATACATGTTTTTTTAACTGCAAATGGCGCAGTGGTTAGAGGTGCCTTGCGTCGCACTCGTGGCCAACGGCTCATGGATCACCAAGCCATCCATCCCTCCGGGGTGGGTAAAGTGGTACTAGACTAGTGTCATACTTGTCTGGGAGGATAAGCAGCACTGACTCGGTACAGCGGGAGTCTCTCGCGAGTGATTGTAAAGGCCAGATATGCATTCAATCACCTCAACGAAGTTAGAAATTGGACACGAACGCATGGTGCATCCTTTAAGTATTAGTGAACTCCGGGAGCTAAATCCTTTCTACCCATCTTTTAGACTAGACGAGAAGTTGGCTTTATGGCACACTCTGATAAGCAAGTGGTGAATAAAGTAAATAGGGAGAAAGAAAGAAAAATAAGTCCCTTACAGATTCCACTGACGACTCGACACGGTCCAGGTGTGTGATTGTAAACGCGCTTGTTGACGTCTAACATGAGTCTATAACACCTTCATGTTGTCATCGTCGTGTCAATAAGTATTTTAAGGGACTTTAATTGAGCACTAAACGCTGCTATGCCAGATAAAATAGCAAACAGAGGGATAGCGAATAACTTACATGAATCTAATCACGCAGCTGCAGATAAAGGCCAGTATCAGCCATACGGCTATGCGATGCAATATGCCGGACAGCGAATTCGGTGTTCGCATCATTGCTCCTTTTTTCACCACGCAATGTTTGGATAGCTTTTCGTCTTCAGGAAAAAGTGTCAAGCACCCTCACAGCCGTCGCAGTGGTATTTACTTTCTTTAAAGTATGAAAATCAGAAATATTTGACGTATTTACAGCAATACCTAGTAGAAATGGGTGATTAGTAAAAGTTCGGCATCAGATGCGAGTTGAACCCCCGTTTCACCCATAACGCGAAGCGTGCTACCACTACATTATGGAGGCGACCGCTTAACCACCACTCATTCTTCAACATCTCTCTATCATAGCTATCGACCACCAACCGGCAACGGCAGCTATGGTAGTGAGATGTTGAAGAATGAGTGGTGGGTAAGCGGAGGTCCTGGTAGTGTAGTGGTAGCACGCGCCCCCGGTATGGGTGAAATGTGGATTAAACTCCCGTTTGAGATCGAGTTTTTGGTTCCATTCAATTTTCATAGGTATACCTGAAACATAATAATACTGCGAAAAGAGCAGTTTAAACAGAAGGTATCTTGAGTTTTTACAACGTTCGACATTACTACAGTCTATTATTCCTAATCAAAATATGGCAACCAACAAATTTTGCCATGAATGTGATAGCTAGTAGTTGATAGACCAGCCATACACTAGTTGTATCTGTAGTACCTTCAGAATCAAAGTGTTCTGCTGAAGAACTAATTGCATAAGAGAACGGGAAAAAACGCGTGTGGATCCTTCAAGGGACAATTAGAAATAGTGCCGGTAGTTTTTTTTTTTTTGTTTTGATGTCACTATCTCCACACGCGCTGCGAGGACCCGAGCACGTACTGTGTTCGCTTCTCTGTTTTTCAACATCCGTGAAGGTTTTCGGATTTCCACGCGTGGACTCGGCTGTTGCTCGAAAATTCTTTATGTTCTTAGTGACTATCATTCAATGCTGGCTAAGTCAAACCCCTTATAGCTTCGAAAAGACCATGCTAAGACGTTCCAGGAACGTTTTGTGTATCAAAAGAAAGCTTCCCCCAACAATTCTGGTCACGATTTTCTCGCTCCCGATGAAGTGAGCTTTGTTGGCGTAGAGCTGGGTCGACTCAGGGCTTGCTCATAACGTACCGCAGCAGGAGGTTACATATACAATCGTTAAATAATCTGATTCAACAATATTGTGACTAAGTCAAAAGTGATCTGATCTTCAATCTTTCATAGGCTACAAAGTTGTCTGGAAGTATATCGCCCTCATCCACAATTTTTATCCAGGACGAGTGAGTGACCGGTAGTTCCCCGGACTTTACTCACAAATGGTATCGCAGGGGCACAAACATCAAAAGACTTAAATGAACTTCGCCAGGTGTGGGGATCTACACTAGCAATTTCCAAAGAACGAAACGAGCGAATTGGTCCACAATCACGCTATTGATATCATCGGATCTCGGTATTATTTTTCGAATGTGAAATATTGGTCCAACATAGTGTAAGAGTGCGTTTTATTTTTGAACAGCTTCTACATGCGGAGAGGACCAACAGGAAATGTGGATTGCCATTTCCGCGAGCTGTTGTCTTCTCAAACAACTACATGCAATTTATTTGAGCCAATATATTGAGGAAACTTCTTCTGTTAGATATATCGGAAATCGTCGTTCATACGTTCAGCGAAACACGTTGAGGATAGGCTCTGTCACAGTTTAACTTCTTTTTTATGGATACAATAAATCAAATAAGACAGAATCGAGTTGAGCTATTTTCCCAGTCACAGGAAGATGTATGAAGTAACGGGGAGTGTTACTCCTTTTCAGAGGTTCGAAAATGTTCATAGGCCTCGAAAATTACTTCATTGACGAAATTACAGCCAAATTGTTACAAAATACGACCTGCTAGAGAGCAGATATTTGATTGCACAAGTTTTATTGAGAATTATTGCGCGATAAATTGGAAGTAGTTAATCAGAGAAACAATTCAGAAAGGAGAGTAAACAAACTATAATAAAATTCAAATATAGAGTTTTGCAAAACAACGCTGAAAGCCAAGAGAAATAAAGAAGGTCATAGTAATTCATAGTGCTACTGCACAGAAAGCCAGGACTTTGTCTGGAAGAAGAAATGGATAACTGGCAGCGCGTATCGATTGCAAGCGGCTTCCAGAGACGAACAGATGTTTGACGGCATAGCACATTCAGGTCCAGCGGTCAGGAAGGAGATGGACCATGTCGGCACTCTCGTGAAGCGGAGCAGCTGGTTTTACTGCAGGAGATCTGTCAGTTCCTAGAATAATTCGTAGTTTTTCAAGCTATTTCAGGTGGGAAGCTACAATGTTCTCCATAGTTCAGTCGTAGTAGAGAACGTTTATGGGAAAGAGAAAGAAAAAAATGCTCACAAACTATCACGTTAGAGAAAATGTTAAAAATGTTTTTCGTTAAGCAGATAGCAGTATCGCCAATAGGTGCGGTATTGTTTGACTTGAAAGTGCTTAACTTGATTTTTTCAATTACTCACTCACTGCGCGTTACACCATTTATGCTGGCGTTCTGCAACAGAAGTTTCTAATCAAGAAATTTGATAATGCGATGGGATTTCTAGCTTCAATCCAAACAAATGTTCAAGCAATGCTCTGGGGTAACATACAACCTGCAAGATTCTGATAATTTTGTCCAAAATTTTTTATCTAGATTTAATTGGATTGTCCGGATTTGAGATGGAACTTTAAAGGACGTCATAAATGTCTTCTTTTGTCAGCGCCACATCACTTGTCTACTCGGATTTGCTCACTCAAGGTCATGAAGAAGACCACTATATTTTTCCTCCAGAATGTTCGCAAAGGAGTCTAACCATCTGGTTGCTGGTGTTTCTATTGTGTGGTTTACAGATTCTGGAGAGCCCAATAATGTTGACACAGTGAAAAAAACATGTTCGCAACGATTTCTATTCACTCGTTGTCGTTCAAATTGACTTTTTACAACTTTGACTAGACGGAAGCGTTCCTCATCTTCGATCATCAAACTAGGTCATGGTTCAGATTTCCTCACTCATTTCCGTGATATCCCTAACATTGATTTGTAAATGTCGTGTTAACAACGGTTTTGCTTTCATAATGTTTCTAAGTGTCCAGTTTTCCGAAGAGTGGGAACTACTTGCGTAAGAGCTCAAAGAGTCTAACATACTTCTTTTTTTTTACAAAATCTTTGAAGCCTCTTCTATAAGCTCCGGCAGAAGACGAAGTCTTAGATGATTTTCCTTACGCTGAGGGCGAATATGATATTGAAGAGGATTTGTTCCCATTGAGACTTAACCGAAAGAAACCGAACGACGTTATTTTGAGTGTAGGGGTCATACTGTAGAGACTATGCAGCAGGTTCCTAAGTTGGAGATGACTTTAGTGGTTGTTTCTGTTGAACAGTCGATAGAATTCTGCTCTAACGATTGATGAATTTGTTTCAAATATTCTATGATTGAGTCAAAAAACTGAGTTCAACCTTTCAAAACTATAATATTGAGTTGGTAAACCAAGCATTCATGATAGGGCCACAGAACTCACTCACAGCTCATGGAAAATGATATTCTTTCACGTTCAACAGCCGTATAGTGTACTGCACTTACAGCAGATCGAGGGATAGCATTTCCCAGAAAATAACTAATGCTGTCCATCATTATTCAATAGGGCTCATATAAATTTTTGCAATAAACCAATGACGCCTCTACAAGTATTTCATTCACAAGTCTCTGTACTTTTTGGCAATTCGTTTTTGGAAGCTTTTCTCTATAATCTGCAAGTTACTTCCACATGTATTTTCTGTGTAAGCTACTGCACCGTCTTTACCTGAACTCTGAGCACAACCATCTTTATTAGATTGCATTGAGTTTTTGCTCACCACTCAGTTCGCTTGAGTCTATACGAAACATCATAACAAAGCGAAAAAAGCAATAAAAATACTAGAATTTGTGAATGATTTCAGACTTTTCTGAGTATTAGCTCTTGTTTCTCCAATGAAAACTCCGCGTATTACAAGAGAAATATGGATGAGCAATCAGTTATCTCCAGGTAAGTTAGCTAATCTGGTAGTCTTACAGTCTCCATCTTCGTTATGGCGCTTATAATCCTTCTTTTTTGGACACCATCGCACCATGTCATTGGTAGCATGGTTATATTGATACAAACGATTATTATCTAGTATTTCAGGAATCACAAGATTTGCTTTTCGAAAGTATCAGAAAGTCTCGCATGCAAACTAATACGAAGTTGACCAACCTCTCTTGAATTAGGGGTATTGAGATCTATTAACTCACTTAAACCATTGTTTTCCAATAACCAAACCAGTATAGATGTGATGCAACCGCGGTCAATCACCATAATGCTAATGTTCTAAGTATTCATGTGATCTCAACGCCACGAATTCTAGCATATCCACTTAATTCATTGCATTCAGCCATTGGTATATTATCCATAATTTAGTGGGGAATCATTGCAAGTGTAAGCAAATCATACACTGAAGTAAATGGTACTACATTATCTTATATTTATGACCCGTCATCACGTTTGTTATGTGGATCTCATCATTATCTCTCATTCGATTTGTTTCTTCGCATTCCTCTTTCACGAACAAGTCTTCGAACTCCCGCGTGTTGTTCAGTTTCTGCTTTGCTTGGAATTTCGTCTTTTCCATGAATATCAGTCATACTGTGCTAGTCAATTAGAATCGTTTTGCAAATATTGATGATAGCTAAGCCAGGGCGTTCTCACGTCATTACAGTAGAGGGAGAGGTCAAACCAGCAATCTGCTTTCTGACAAATTCTATCACTAATCACTACTCCGTGCCCTTATGACAATGATACTAAAAAGGATAATGAAAACAATACTGACTGTGCATATGGTAATAATGGCCATAACACTAGTTAAGAGTTAGTGAATTTCTCAATCGATTCAATCTGAAACCGTTGAAACAACGGAGAATATGAGTGGATACTCTTTACACAGTAGCGCGACAAAGAATTTCTAATTTTAGCAATAATAAGTTCTTCTCATTGGAAGTTAGCCAAAATGTTTTATGGTACTGGTTTTCATCTCATCAAGTGACTCCCATTATCATGGATAATATATATTGTAATTTATTGATAATCTAACGCTAGATTGCTAAGAAAATCTTATTAATTCGAACCAAATGTATATAACAATCATTTTCTGTGACTTGAGTAGATTTTGTGCGATTTAAATTGTGTGAGGTGGAGCGGCGAGCTGACGTAAACATATTTAAAACGATATTAAGCGGACTTACTCTACTCTACAGTGAAGTGATAGTAGTAAAGCAACCTTCTTCATTGTAATTACCTGATGAAGCTGTTTAGTCGCAAGATTTAGTCACGCAACTGTTTATTCTCGTTCTACTTAGAATTATTTCACAATAGAAAGGACAGGGTATAAAATGCGTTCACATGATAAGTAGATAATGAGTGGCATTTTC